TGAATGAAGTGAATGAAGGCCGTGTAGTATCTAAAGTGGGGAAGCGACATCTGTGGGTAACAGGGAGCCACTGAGGGCTCCTGAACAAAGGCCTGCCCCGGGGATGCGTTGTATGGCAGCAAGACTCAGGTTGGGGTGACACTGTGACCCCTGGTTTATGTCCTAAGTTGGGTTCCCTAGCAGCAGAGCCTGAGACAGGGATTCTTATTCGAGGGGTGTATCTGGGGGTGCTCTCAGGAGAGGGGGGAGCAGGGTAAGCAGGATAAAGCAGGGGAAAGTGCGGACATGTGGTCTTGGTTGGGGACTAGCTTCAGTCTGATCCTTAGGGAAGCTCTGAGCATAAACTCCTCAGGTTGGGGTGAGAGGGCCACCCCCCACATCAGGCACTGACGGAGGTCGCCCTGTGGCGTGGGGGTGGAGGGTGCAGCTTCTGGGTGCAGTGACTCCCGTTCAGGCGATTACCCAAGAGGGAGGCAGCTATGAGTTATGTGGAGGCTGGGAGAGGAGGGGTGTGGAATGAATGGTAGACTGACCCCTCGCTGGCTGCTGGGAGGTGGGAGGATGTTGGGATATCCTGGGCCCAGGGTCCATCCTTGACCCCTGTGACCACTGTTTCTACCTCTTGCCCCCTATCACTCATGCCAGAGCCTCAGGCCCCTGTGGTGCTCATGCCACTGTCAGCCACACCAGGTTGGAGTGAGAGGCGCAGGGGCGGGGCCGGGATGCTGAGGCTCTGGGCTCCTCAGACACCAGGTCAGACCAGACGTCAGGCCCGGAGCTGACCGGTGCTGGGACTCCTCCGCAGACCTGGCTGGCCCTTCGCAGGGGCCGAGTCGGAGTCCGGGAGGGTCTGTCTGACAAGAGACCATCTGCCTGAGGGTCGGAGTCCCCGATACCCCTCCTCCTCCCCGGGACGTATTTTAGAGCCACGGTCCCATTTCCCAAGCTGCCGGGCCAGGCTCCTACATCCTCTGCTCGTCTCCGCAGGGCTGGACAACATACACAGGATCACGTCCCAGGGCCGCTACGAGCTGCGCGTGGACATGCGCGACGGCCAGGAGGCCGCCTTCGCCCACTATGACAAGTTCTCGGTCGAGGACAGCAGGAACCTGTACAAGCTCCGTGTAGGCGGCTACAACGGCACTGCAGGTACCTGGGTCCCCAGCAGACCAGGGCCCCTCGCTCCAGGCCTGAGCTGCCCTGGGATTCCCTGCCGGCCGGTGAGCTGGGCACGGGCTGCGAATCACTGGCCCCGGCCCAGCTGCCCCTCACCACTCGGCGGCCTGAAATCAGTTTCCTCGTCTGGAGCATGATGATAGGGATCCCTGCCTACTGCACAGCAGCCAGGAACAGGCAGTTCAGGCCGGGAACGTGCTTTTAAGGTTTAAACACCGAAGTTCAGTGGGAGGGCCAAGGACAATTCTTCTTGTCTCGATCATTCAATATGGACTCCTATCCAGAGAGCAGAACCCCGTGCTGTCTGGGCAGAAACCTCCCCTCAGTGACACGAGGAAACCACCCTGAACTGAGGAAACTAACCAGATCCCGAATATTCTGAGATGCTCCCCCCTCACACACATACACACACAGAAGTCATCATCACAGCCATCAAGGAGCAAGCCACAGCACTAATGGTGCCCACATTCCACTCATCCATCCGCAAGAACCACGTACATCGCCACGTCTTCTGTGTAGACGCTGAAGACATTTACACTCAGAAGAATACCCGTGGCCTTAATGGTTTCATCAGAACCGAATGCTGGGCCAGTCCTCAGGTGCAGCCTGTCTGTTCCCTGGGGTCTACTCCATAAAGCCTGTGTTTGCCAAATGTTCTATTGTTTGGTGCAGGGAGTGATTGGCCTTGCATTTACTCGGATTTTAGGGCTAAGGGCCAGTGTATAATTCTAGCAGCATTTTTATGCCTCTTGGCACTGAGAGGACCATCGAGGTGTTGCCCTTCCAATTCCGGCCTCTGTCCAATTATTTCTCTCTCCAGCCAAGTACATTACTCCAAAGAGAAGGCACGCTTCCCTTTGTTACGCTTCAAATTTCAGACCCTTCCCCATGGCCACGAGCCCTGCCCGAGTGCCCCACGGAAGGTCCAATCACCACGCTTCGGGCATAGCATAGCCATTGAAATGCACTCCAGTGAACAAAGTATCAGACTGATTCATTCACAGATAAGGAGGCTGCATGGCGGTGACCACATTGTCCCGTGTTACCAGGCTCATCACTGTCCCCCCGGAAACAGAGGGAGTTGTGCACGTCTGTCCCATGCGGGCCTGGAGGAAACAGACAGAGGTTGGAGGTGCCGCATGGACAGGGTTCTGAGCAGGTTGGGGAAGGAGGAGATGAGCTGGAGCGAGCAGCATGGAAGCAGCTGCCCCAGGGGAGGGGGGAGGACGTTCAGTTCAGCCAGACTGACCCACAGGTGGAAGGAAAAGGGGGGCTCAGTGAAAGGTCCCGTAAGTGGAAGCCGGTTGGTTGGGAGCAGGACAAACATCCAGAAAATCCCGACGAAGGAGGGACAAACTGAACGGCCTCCCGCGTGTTCGTTTTCCCCAGGGGACTCCCTCAGCTACCACCAGGGACGCCCCTTCTCCACTGTGGACAGAGACAACGACATCGCCGTGACCAACTGCGCCCTGTCGTACAAGGGGGCGTGGTGGTACAAGAACTGCCACCGGACCAACCTCAACGGGAAGTACGGGGAGTCCAGGCACAGCCAGGTGGGTGGAGTCTGCCGCCGGGATGAGCCGGAGCTGAGGGGTCCCTTAGCGTATGTGTTCATTGCACAGGCGGGTCTTACTCAGGGTCTCAGGGAAGGAGTATCGTGAAGAGGAAGGTAATGCAGACGCTGGGGGCGGGCAGGACAGGGTAGAAGCAGTGGAAGGAGAGGAAGCAGCCTACGAAGTGTCCCAGGAACAGAGAATGAGAAATACCGGTGTTAACCGGCCCATCTATCCCCGTTAGAGACCACATGACCGTGGGCCGAGCGGGGTGACGGGTGACCCGCTGAGACGTGCCCAGCATTAGCCCTGAAAGCCAGCAGCCAGGGAACCCCGTGGTCCCGGCAAACCCAGGGTTGGTCCCCGTCGGCGGAAACCACCTGGCCTCCCACCAGGAGTGAGCAGGCACTCGGTGACCCTCCAAAATGCGTCTGTGCTGTGGGGACTTTGCACACAAACCCTGAAGGCCAAACACAGAGCCGGCCACAGCACGTTTCCAGGGAAAAGGCTGGAGAGAGGCTGTGCTATGGCCTGATCTCGGAGGATCTGACATGCTCGTCTTTCTCCTTCCCAGGGCATCAACTGGTACCACTGGAAAGGCCACGAGTTCTCCATCCCCTTCGTGGAAATGAAGACGCGCCCCTACAACCACCGGCCCCTGGCGGGGAGGAAGCGGCGGTCCTTGCACTTCTGAGCCGTGGGCGGCCACCGGCTACCTGACCTTTCTGTATTTTATAAACCAAGCAAGGGGTGGGGATCACAGCACTGCGCATTGCAACGTGTTCTGAGTGTTCGAAGGAAGCAGGGAGTAGCAGGAATCGGTTGAGAATTAGCTGCTTATGGTTTCTGCTGCCCTCGGGCCTGACCCAGTCCATTCTCCCTCTTCTCCAGCCACCTTAGCCGGCCCCTTTTCCCACCAGGAGGAGAAGGGAGATGTTTCCCTAAAAGACCAAATCAAAGGCCAGTGGTGGAGTCAGGTTGCTATGGTGACGGGCTCGTCCCTTCGCCCCTTGCCCTCCCTCGGAGACGTCCTCCCCTTCCCGGCATGTGTCCCTGGTCACTGCCTCCCAAGGAAGAAGCCTCCACAAGAGAGTCTTGCGAACAACGCCCCCAAGAGGCAGCTCGACCTTGCCATCCGCCAGCCCAAGCCTCTTTCACAGGCCAGAGGTTCTCACCTTCTGACCCTTCTGACCCTTCCGCCGAGTGGCCCTGTGACCTCTCAAGAGTAGTGACCTCCCTTCCAGCCCTCACGGAGCCTGTGCCTGCCCCCTACCCTGAGGCCCCGGGCCCCACAAGCCCAGCCACTGCTTCCGACGATAGTTCCCAAGGTGCTCGGTGCCTGTGGCTGGCCCGGAGCTGCTCATGGCTTGTGTCCCTGTGGGTCTCTGTGGGAGGGGGAGAGGGAGAGAGTAGCGGGTTTTAGCGCTTTGGGGTCCAGCCTGGAGGAAAGGAAGGAGGAGGAGAATTCAGGGCCCCTGTCACTGAGATTCGAGGTCCCATGGGGAACACAGGTCTTTATTTCTGGTTCTCTGTGTCACAAACAGTTTTTTTCTGAGTTGCAAACTGATTGCGATCCTTAGCCAGGCTCTCCTTTGTGTGGGAGGCTTAATAAGAGTCAGAGAAAGACGTTATATGACCAGCCAGCCATTCTCCTAACTGGTATTCCCTGGAAGATCATCACAGCCATCAAGGAGCAAGCCACAGCACTAATGGTGCCCACATTCCACTCATCCATCCGCAAGAACCACGTACATCGCCACGTCTTCTGTGTAGACGCTGAAGACATTTACACTCAGAAGAATACCCGTGGCCTTAATGGTTTCATCAGAACTGAATGTTGGGCCAGTCCTGGGGTGCAGCCTGTCTGTTCCCTGGGGTCTACTCCATAAAGCCTGTGTTTGCCAAATGTTCTATTGTTTGGTGCAGGGAGTGATTGGCCTTGCATTTACTCGGATTTTAGGGCTAAGGGCCAGTGTATAATTCTAGCAGCATTTTTATGCCTCTTGGCACTGAGAGGACCATCGAGGTGTTGCCCTTCCAATTCCGGCCTCTGTCCAATTATTTCTCTCTCCAGCCAAGTACATTACTCCAAAGAGAAGGCACGCTTCCCTTTGTTACGCTTCAAATTTCAGACCCTTCCCCATGGCCACGAGCCCTGCCCGAGTGCCCCACGGAAGGTCCAATCACCACGCTTCGGGCATAGCATAGCCATTGAAATGCACTCCAGTGAACAAAGTATCAGACTGATTCATTCACAGATAAGGAGGCTGCATGGCGGTGACCACATTGTCCCGTGTTACCAGGCTCATCACTGTCCCCCCGGAAACAGAGGGAGTTGTGCACGTCCGTGTCCCATGTGGGCCTGGAGGAAACAGAGGTTGGGGGTGCTGCATGGACAGGGTTCTGAGCAGGTTGGGGAAGGAGGAGATGAGCTGGAGTGAGCAGCGTGGAAGCAGCTGCCCCAGGGGAGGGGGGAGGACGTTCAGTTCAGCCAGACTGACCCACAGGTGGAAGGAAAAGGGGGGCTCAGTGGAAGGTCCCGTAAGTGGAAGCCGGTTGGTTGGGAGCAGGACAAACATCCAGAAAATCCCGACGAAGGAGGGACAAACTGAACGGCCTCCCGCGTGTTCGTTTTCCCCAGGGGACTCCCTCAGCTACCACCAGGGACGCCCCTTCTCCACTGTGGACAGAGACAACGACATCGCCGTGACCAACTGCGCCCTGTCGTACAAGGGGGCGTGGTGGTACAAGAACTGCCACCGGACCAACCTCAACGGGAAGTACGGGGAGTCCAGGCACAGCCAGGTGGGTGGAGTCTGCCGCCGGAATGAGTCGGAGCTGAGGAGTCCCTTAGCGTATGTGTTCATTGCACAGGCGGGTCTTACTCAGGGTCTCAGGGAAGGAGTATCGTGAAGAGGAAGGTAATGCAGACGCTGGGGGCGGGCAGGACAGGGTAGAAGCAGTGGAAGGAGAGGAAGCAGCCTACGAAGTGTCCCAGGAACAGAGAATGAGAAATACCGGTGTTAACCGGCCCATCTATCCCCGTTAGAGACCACATGACCGTGGGCCGAGCGGGGTGACGGGTGACCCGCTGAGACGTGCCCAGCATTAGCCCTGAAAGCCAGCAGCCAGGGAACCCCGTGGTCCCGGCAAACCCAGGGTTGGTCCCCGTCGGCGGAAACCACCTGGCCTCCCACCAGGAGTGAGCAGGCACTCGGTGACCCTCCAAAATGCGTCTGTGCTGTGGGGACTTTGCACACAAACCCTGAAGGCCAAACACAGAGCCGGCCACGGGGAGCGGCCCGGCCACAGCACGTTTCCAGGGAAAAGGCTGGAGAGAGGCTGTGCTATGGCCTCATCTCGGGGGATCTGACACGCTCGTCTTTCTCCTTCCCAGGGCATCAACTGGTACCACTGGAAAGGCCACGAGTTCTCCATCCCCTTCGTGGAAATGAAGACGCGCCCCTACAACCACCGGCCCCTGGCGGGGAGGAAGCGGCGGTCCTTGCACTTCTGAGCCGTGGGCGGCCGCCGGCCACCTGACCTTTCTGTCATTTGTTTGTATTTTATAAACCAGGCAAGGGGTGGGGATCACAGCACTGCGCATTGCAACGTGTCCTGAGTGTTCGAAGGAAGCAGGGAGTAGCAGTAATCGGTTGAGAATTAGCTGCTTATGGTTTCTGCTGCCCTCGGGCCTGACCCAGTCCATTCTCCCTCTTCTCCAGCCACCTTAGCCGGCCCCTTTTCCCACCAGGAGGAGAAGGGAGATGTTTCCCTAAAAGACCAAATCAAAGGCCAGTGGTGGAGTCAGGTTGCTATGGTGACGGGCTCGTCCCTTCGCCCCTTGCCCTCCCTCGGAGACGTCCTCCCCTTCCCGGCATGTGTCCCTGGTCACTGCCTCCCAAGGAAGAAGCCTCCACAAGAGAGTCTTGCGAACAACGCCCCCAAGAGGCAGCTCGACCTTGCCATCCGCCAGCCCAAGCCTCTTTCACAGGCCAGAGGTTCTCACCTTCTGACCCTTCCGCCGAGTGGCCCTGTGACCTCTCAAGAGTAGTGACCTCCCTTCCAGCCCTCACGGAGCCTGTGCCTGCCCCCTACCCTGAGGCCCCGGGCCCCACAAGCCCAGCCACTGCTTCCGACGATAGTTCCCAAGGTGCTCGGTGCCCGTGGCTGGCCCGGAGCTGCTCATGGTTGTGCCCCTGTGGGTCTCTGTGGGAGGGGGAGAGGGAGAGAGTAGCGGGTTTTAGCGCTTTGGGGTCCAGCCTGGAGGAAAGGAAGGAGGAGGAGAATTCAGGGCCCCTGTCACTGAGATTCGAGGTCCCATGGGGAACACAGGTCTTTATTTCTGGTTCTCTGTGTCACAAACAGTTTTTTTCTGAGTTGCAAACTGATTGCGATCCTTAGCCAGGCTCTCCTTTGTGTGGGAGGCTTAATAAGAGTCAGAGAAAGACGTTATATGACCAGCCAGCCATTCTCCTAACTGGTATTCCCTGGAAGAGGTGGGGTTTGAGGGTTTTGTTCTTGTTTTTTCCTTTTTGGTCCCATGGAGACAGGAATGGCCTCCTTAATGAGGTGAGCTCCTGAGAAGGCTTCTCCACCTTCTTTTATTTCTCTGCCTTTGAGAGGAGAAATGAAATGACATCTAGAAATCCAAGGTGAACAGGGAGGGCTGTGGGCCACCCCTCTGATGAGATGTTCTCTCTCCACTGGCTAGTCTGTGATTTGATTTTTAAGCCCAAGAGAGCTGGAGGCTCTAGAAGCCAGGACCCTTCAGCTTCTCCAAATCAAACATTAGCTGCCATCCTCCCCACGGCGCTGGCCAAACCCAGGCTGTTTCCCCAGCTGCCCTCCCCCGTCCTCTCCTTCTCCTCAAGGCCTCAGTTCCACTCTCTGTAGTGTTCAACTGGGGCATCCGGGTACCTGTACCACCTGCAGTCTAGCCAAGCATAACCAAGAGACCATCCCTCGGGCTGATGACCACACCTGTGGTCACTTGCTGTGCACACTGCCAAGGCCTTGTCACGGCTGTGGTGTGGATGTGATTGACATGCCCTGGACCAAAAAACAGAGGTGGCATTTCCATTTCTCAGTTCACTGTGGGCCTCAGAAAAACAAGGAGAAGCAGGGAAACACAAGCAAGCCTTTCTAGAAACCTGTAAGTTAAATGAGACTTCGTGGAGTGGGCCGCCAGTAAACAGCGGGGAGCAGGCTGAATGAGCTGAGCGACAGGCCGTTCTGCTGGCCCTGTGACATCAAGGAGGGCGCTTCATCTCTCTGGGCCTCCATCTCCTCACCTGTTACATGAAAGATTAGGCCAGAATGGCTTCTAACTTCCCTTTCAGCTTTGACAGTCAGTGATGCCCATCTCTCATCTGAAAATCTGCATAGAAATGGGCATTGGGGAGGAAGCACGATCAAGCCATGAAAATGCACCAGAAACCCAGCTTTATTTAGGAAGGGAGGGAGGAGGGAGGGAGGGAAGGAAGCAAGGATGGAGGGAGAAGTCAGTGAAACACACACACACACACTTTGCAGGAAGGATTATGCCCCATAGGAGGCTGCACTCATTTTGTCTGCGAAAGCAGAGCCCAGGGACCTGGGTGGCACCGATACTGCCCATCTCGTCAAGGGACTGACACAGAGAAACGTTCTGAATCCTCATGTCGCCACTCGGGCTACAGCCAGGAAACGCTGCAGAAACCCCAATCTGCCTTTTGTTGGAAGCACTGCACCCTGTGGAGCACTTCTATAAATAGTCTCGCAGCACGGCCCTGATCCATGTGAAAGAATAGTAAAGCAAGGAAGGGACTTCAAAGATTAGCTCACCCAACCTTCAGTCCAAGGATTTATAGATTCCTTTTATTAAGTAGAGTCATTTTGTCACGAATTTTTATCGTTTTTAAGGCCCATGGTCAACTTGACTCAGAGCTGCTACCTCCCTCCCTGACTCCTGCTAATCCTGCTCCCCCAAGCAGGTGCTCTTCCGGGGGTGGATCCTGAGCAGCGCCCACAGAGCACCCGGCCTACACCAGCGCGTCCCTCCAGGGACAGGAAGATGTGCACCCTGCCCAGGGGCAGTTTAGCTGGAGACACCCAGGATGCGTACTCGCAGACACAATCCACCGATGATTGACGGCTACAGACTCACTGCCTAGACCCAAGATCCAGACAGTTCCTCCTGTTTGCATTTCCCCATCAGAGAGAGATCATTTCCAGCTCAGTAAACTCACATTCTCCAGGGTTATTTCTGGAAGGTGAAGGGAGGAATGGGGAAGACAAATCTGTGGGAAACTCCTGCTGGTCTTTAGACCAGATTTAACTGGAGGAGGGAGCTTGCTAAGTGTCACCACCAGGGGGCGATCACAACCCCAGCCCCTCCTGTAACCCCCTGTGAGTCATCTGGGGGTGAGGACAGCAAGTGCCTCCAGGTTACCAGGAGAACCCACACCAAAGGAAAACTGGCCAACAGATGAACAGATTTGTAAATAATAATAATAATAATAATAATAATAATGATGATGATGATGATGGCAGCAAAGAAATGCAGAGCAAACTTCCACAAACAGTTCAATGCCCCGGACCCTTCACAGCCCCACTCCTCATGAAGACGTAAGAGACCTCATACCTGCTCCTGGCACCCTGAGAACTGGCCTTCCCAAGACAGACCTGGAGAACCAAGGTTGCCAACGAGCTCAATGCCAAACCAAACAATCCCAACCTCACTTAGACTTTACAAGCCAGTCCCAGAACAGAGCTGTAGATTCAGGGACAAACGGTCATTCAGGGACCTTTTCAAAGAGCTCTTGTCAAAGCACTGGTGAGAAAGGGCTTAGAGTTCCTCTCTGTCCCCTCCTCTGGGGGAAACAGAACCTGTGAGAAGAACAGGTGCACAAAGCTGAGGGCACTGACACCCACTAGCTGGTGGCCGGGAATTGCAAGTACACCTGGGGCTTGAAAATATTTTTCTTTTTTCTTTTTTTTTTAACCACCCAGGATTTCAGGAAAGGCGGAGCCCCTGGCTCAGGACATGTGCTTCTCTATGGCTTTTTTCTGATCAGCAGACTCCCATCCAGTCCAGTTCCTTACTCCCATTTCTTTGCTCCAAAGGGCGCATTCGTCTTGCATCTCACTGTCTGCTCTCAAAACCCTTAAAGGAATCTCTGGGAGATGCCAACTTGAGTTCCATCCCCCTGATCTCATGGGACAATTTGTTTTCTCTTGCCTCAGACTTGCCAAAGCTGCGAGAGGGGCCTTGGACCTCAGAGGCTGGGGCGAAACCTGAAGGTGGGAGTCTGCCTCGTGCCCACAGCTCCAGGTTCCGGGAGCTGCTGCCAGCTCTGCCTGGCCACCAAATAACAAAAAAAGAGAAGCTGGTGGGTCGTTAGAGACTAAAAGCAAGCCTTCTCCAGATGGACCCACAGTAAAAATGCAGAGACCGGGCGTGAAGGGCCGGCATTAGTTCCCTGCTCTTTGTGCCCCCCTCCCCCAGCACCCCTGTCTGCTCCCCACTTCACCTGAAAGGGTGGAGGTCCCAGGGGTCTGTCGCTGCACAGAAACTGACTCGCTCCACCCACCCTGCCTGGACCGCACGTTCCTTCCCAAGCAGTCACAAGCCCGATCTGTCACCTCCAGCATTTCTGATTAATTTTTCGAGGTCACCCTTTGCCTGAAGCATGACTTCATTGCACCTGCAGCACTTCATTGTCCAAATGTCCTTGGCCAGCCTCTCAGTCTTTGGACAGTGTTGCCTTTTCTCCAAACCGGAAATCCTCCCTCCTTCTCCAAGCTTAATCGGGCACTTGCAGGACATCCAAATAGCACAGCTCTTGTTCCTCAGAAAAACTCTGCCCCCTCTGCTAACTAGTGAAACAGCTCCTCATTGTTGGCTGTGAGGCTGGGCTGATGCTGAGTTTCCAGGTCAGAAGCGTTTAACGCTTTCGGTCTCCCCAGCGGCTCTCCCAGGGGGCCAGGAACCTCTAGGCCACAGAGAGGGTTGGGGTCCAGAGACATGGCCAGGAGGCAGGTGCATGGATGAGAACTATTGGTTTCTTCCCCTCAGTGGTTTCAGAGCCCCAGGGAGACCCTGGGCTGCTGCTGAACATCCTGACATTGAACACAAACATGCTCAACACTGCCTCCAACAGGCCAACGCTGGGCAGACTCCCACCTTCAGGTTGCGCCCCAGCCTCTGAGGTCCAAGGCCCCTCTCGCAGCTTTGGCAAGTCTGAGGCAAGAGAAAACAAATTGTCCCATGAGATCAGGGGGATGGAACTCAAGTTGGCATCTCCCAGTCCCCTTCAGCCCTGGAGGGGACTCCATATCTGACCCCTCTCTCATTTCACCCCCAGGCCCAGAAAGGTTAGGCGACTGGCTCACGTTCACAGGGCTGGCTAGTAACAGAGCTGCGATCAGATTTGGCATAAACCTTTTCACTTCCTTTCCCCAAACGAAGGCTGAGAGAATCGGGATTCGTGCACACCTGCTGTTTTCCAGACGGGGGTTAGTGGCTGGACATGTGTTACTTTGTTCAATCCTCCCCAGAACCCTGGATCGGGTTTAACCATTTTCCAGATGAGAGAATGGAGGCACAGACAGGTTAAGTAACTTGCCCGAAGTCACACAGGCAGGAGACTCACCCACTTGCTCACTGGTTTCCCTGTCCCTCGCCCTACCTCCTGTCTCCCCCCCCCCCCCCCCCCCCAGAGGGCCGGGGAGGGCCGAGGACCATCAGCTACAATCTCCTCTCTCTCTGCCACTTCGGGGACTTGATAAGGAAACCAGTTCTTGGTAACTTGTATGTTTAGCTGCCGGCCCCAAACCCCAGAAATGAACCCTCTCCTCTTCACTGAATGACCTTCTAGACACAGGAATAGGTCGCGCTCCCCGAGAGAGAGCCCCGCACGTCATGGTCCCTTGTGAGAGGCACCAGACACCATGGTCAATGCGATCACGTCAGCCCAGAAAGCGCTCCCCACGCACCCCACCCCACCCAGGTCCCCTCTGAGGCCTAGACTCACATCATGGTCCCACAGGCTCAAGGTTCGAACCTGTGGGAGTTAACACACATCGCCTCCTTCCTGTCAATCACGCCCCCCCACCCCCCATTACTCAAACCTCAAATACACTCCGGCCCAGAGGACTGCCAGGCGCCCTAAGAGAGCCCTGCGAGTGTGTGTGTGTGGGGGGGGGGGGCGGCGATCAGGGCTCGGCCAGCTGAAACCCACCTGAGACGGTTTTCTGAGACATCACCAACGCCAGGTCCTCCATCCCTCCGAGTTTGCGTTTGCCATCTTAACCTTTAACAGCCTTTTCAGGTAAAAATAACAAAGACCAACTTACTGACTTTGTAGCTACCACACGCTTGGAAAAGTGTTCACATGAAGGAAAGACCAGAAGGAAGAAGGGAAACACCGCACTGCTCAGCGGCGAACGCGGCAACGAACTGAAACAGAAGGAAAGCGCAGGGGCAGGAAGGGAGCGGGGACGACGCCCAGCCTGTCCGGCCGTGGCTCAGAGACTGGGGTCTCCGCTTGTTAACCATTGTGAACTAGTGCTTTTAGTCCTGGTAGCTTTTAGCTTCTGTATAGTTCCTTTTTTAAACACATTTTCTATACGTTAATAAAAGACCCGAAGGACGATGTCACCTTCCTAGTGCCAGGGGCCTGGGGGAAGGCCAGCTCAGTGGCTGGTCTGCCTCCTTGCTCAGACACCCTCTACGCGTCTGCCCGCCACTCTGCCAACCACCTCTGCCAACCACCTCTGCCAACCGTCTTCCCTAGGTCACCCTTCCAGGAGCTGTTCCCATTCCTCTGTGCCCTGCCCCCCATCCACGCCCCCCACCTTCCCAATCCTCTGCTCTCATATCCCCTGGGTCTCCTCCTCAGCACCCTGCCCTCCTCCCTTCCCTTCCTTCCCATCTCCCACCCGCTTTGAACTCTTCATCTCTGTTTTTGCTTTCACCCTCAGGAAAGGTCAGTTGGGTGGCGCCTCTGCTGGTGCCCAGCATCACCCACACTGTCTTGTCTGCGGTTTTGAGCCCTTGATCAGCCACTGCGACTGCCTCAGGGTCCAGCTCCCTCAACCCTGGAGGCCCCATGGCAGCCAGATCTCCAAGGTTCTAGTGCCACCTATGGGCCCTGGCGGAGAACACCCAACAGGCCCCGCTGCCTCCCTCAGCTCCGGTCCCCAGCCTGGCCCACCCGCCTCTCGGACTTGGGTCACCTGGGAAACCATTTTCCCCTTTTCTCCCTTGAATATGGGCCCAGGGCACATTGTGACACCAACTGCAACCTCCCGGTCACGTCAGGTAAGACCCAGCCAGGTAACAGCCCCAAGAGGAGGGCATAAGGGCCACCTGCCTACGTCAGCTCCACAGGCACCCGGGGCCACGTGCCGAGATGGCAGTCACAGGCGGCACCTGGGTGCCAGGGAGGGCGTGTGCAGAGACTCCCTGGGGCAGGCCAGCCGCTGGGTCTGGTGACAACGGGAATAATCCACAGGACAGGTG